GTAGAATAGAGAATTTTTACAACAAGACGTCCCAGACAGACGCCTCTTTAATATATTCACATTTCTGATAAATTTCCTTAAACATAAACTGAAAGAAGCAACCAATTTTATTGACCTTATTGTCTGAAAAATTGTGTCTATTCAGACTTTCATGTCTGCTAGTTCATTTTGGAGATTGAAAATTCACTTTCAAGGCTCATAGTATTGCTTTTTGCAGATTCCATAAAGGGTTACGCAGCACAAATAAGAACTTTAGGACATAACACCAACACTTACAGCACTGTGAAAACTTGCAGAAGTTAATGTGAAGGTATATTGCTTTCTTTTTTTTTTTTTTTTTTTTTGAGACAGAGCCTCAAGCTGTCCCCCTGGGTAAAGTGCCGTGGCATTACAGCTCACAGCAACCTCCAACTCCTGGGCTCAAGCGAGTCTCCTGCCTCCGCCTCCCAAGTAGCTGGGACCAAAGGTGCCCGCCACAACGCCCGGCTATTTTTTGGTTGCAGCCGTCATTGTTGTTTGGCGGGTCCGGGCTGGGGATTCGAACCCGCCACCTTAGGTGTACGTGGCTGGCGCCCTAGCCGGTTGAGCTATAGGCGCCAAGCCGGTATATTGCTTTCTTTAGAGTTGAGTGTATTTCTTTATGGTCTTCCTTTTAGTGAAGTCACCCCCAGTTGTGTATATTATAGAACCAATCTACCCTTGCTAAAAATACTGAAATCTATGGTATATTTTTATTCAGGACCATAATTTCTTTATCAATTTACATCTATCATCAGGTGAGAAGTTTCACCTACCCTAAAATAATTCTATGAACTTTGACACTTGCCTGAGCACTAGAGATCTGAAGAATCTCTCCTCCTCCTAGAGTTTGCACTTGATCTGTCTGAGGAAGTGGCCGGCCATCTTTCATCCAGGTGATTTTAGGGGCTGGAATTCCAGAAGCAATGCAGGTAAGTTCAAGTGGGTTATTAACAATTACTGATATCTCTCCAGGTTCTTCAGATCCATTAATGTGGGGTGGTTCTATTTAAAGAGAATCACAAAGAATAACAAAATAAACCTGCTGTTGATAATACTGCTAATTGGAAAAACTTTGAAAAGAAAACCCATCTCAAATTCACGTTCATGTGATACATAAAATGAATAGAACAAGGAAACTTAATTGATAATTCCCAGATGTCATTGCCATTTCTCATGGGCGACTCTTTCAGAAGGGATGGCTCATGCCTATCAGAGATCATGAGGTAAATGGAAGTTCCTTCCAAAGTAATTTTAGGATAATTTAGACTCAATCAACTAGAACTGTCTTCCTTAACCATAAAGATATGAGAATAACAACAACTATACCTATCTTCTTTCACTTTTGTTGAGAGGAACTTAAATGTATGTTTTAGTGTGTTTTTTATATCTTTTAAATGCTGATTGTTTCTACCAAAGCAACGGGTAAATATTATAGAATTTTGCTATGATCTTTTCTGTGCAGAAATCTGAGAGGAAACAATGACTAAGAAAAAAAAAATTAGTTACATTTGGAGATAATGATTTCTGCATAAAACACACTTGTTATGTCTGGGTAGAAGTAAGTTCCTTTTTGTTACTTATACTTCTAAAATTACTTTTCTCAAGAGAAGGTTAAAGAATCTAAACAGCAGGAAGAAACATTAAGGTCCTTTCGTCCAACGGCCCTCAAGTTAAGTAATTCCTTTAAAACAGACTCTTCTTACAAAGACCATTCAAATGTCTATGAACTTGTATAGTTCAAGTTTACAGCTTACCCTTTCTTAAGGCAGCTCAAATAGCTGTTGGACAGCTCCAGGGGTGAACAGGGTCCCCCCCGCCCCCTTTCCTTTCTTTTCGTTCCTTTTTCTTTTCTGTTCTTTTTCCTTTCCCTTTCTCCTTCTCCATCTGTTTCTCCTTCTTCCTCCCAGGCACAGAGATCAATGACTCACAGTAGATGATTTGGAGTCTGAGTTTGAATCTTGGTGCCAACAACTTTAGGAGACTTGGGGGGCAAATCTCTTAAAATGGTAATAGCAACATGATTCACCCTAATGGGATTGCTATGAAGATCAATGAGATCTACTAAACCTTTTTTCTGTGTTTCTCTATTTTATCTTATAACTAAAAGATTTTTAAAAGGTATTGCTACAGCACCCTTACTTCAAATGGTACTATTATTGTTAAAATCTGCTTTCTAAAAATTTCTACCTATGAGTCCTCATTTTCCTTTCTGGAAAAAGATAATACTACGGATTAGTTCTGTTTTCCTTTTCAGATTCTAATCAAGAAGTCAGCATTTCTGAACCATTGTCCCATGGGACCTCCTTTTTCTCCCATTTATATTATGTATTGCTGTCAAAATACATTTTCTTAAGTTTAAGACGGATCTAAGATTTTCTGCTTAAAGATGTTAATGAGTTCATACTGCTTACTGGATTAAATAAATATTACTCTCTTGTGGCTTCCGAGGCTACCGTAATAAACCCATCTTTGTAATAGTATTTGCCTTCACGGTACTTCAGTGAGACCTAGACTCCAAACTGGGCTACTTCTCTCCCTCAACAAGTCCAGTCCTTTCCTGTCCCATCCCCTAAGTGAGCATGTTGAAATATCATCAAGATTACATTCATGTTATCAAGTTCCTTCATTAAAACTATAAATCCTTTCTTGATTCTCTCAACTAACTATAAAACATCTACACCTTATAACTTACACAGCATGTTGTTTGCACCACTCAAAAGCACTTATCTGATTCACCATTTGACACAGTCAATTTTTTTATGCCCCTTACTTACTGGTTATTTATTATGTGTCAATTAATGGGAGTACAAAATGTAATTGGTCATGGCATTCCCCTTCAAAAGTCTATAATCACCATACTTAACACAGCAGCAGCAGCAGCACCCACAACAGTTATTACCATGTTCCCTACTGATTCAAAACCCTGTGTCTTAGATGTACTGACAATGACCTATTTTACTCTGTTCTCCCAAGGTGTCTTATACTTGGGGCAGAGTAAGAGTTGATCACCCTCTGATGACTCCAGAATTCTTATTTTCAGCCTGGATCTCTCTTTTGACCTCCGACTCCATAACAGCAATTATCAGATAAACATGGACGTGTTATCACATATATCCATGTGACGGACTTAGTCAGTCATTTACTCTCATAGGTTAAAGAGTCAGCCATCCTCGGAACCTTCTTTCTCCTCATTCCTGTGTCCAAATCCACAACCAAGTTCTAATACTTCTGCTGCGCTCACTTCTAGAACACATCTTTTCCTCTCATCTCCCCCACTCTAAGCTGAGCTATAATACTATTTTCTTGAATTAATGTCTCTTTCTTCCTGGTTGTAGGTGCCTACCCATTACTACTGCCTTCTTTTCTTATTAGAAGACTTGAATTTTGTTGGGGCTGTTGATGTGCTGAAAAAATTACATTTCCTAGCCTCTTTAGCAGATAGAAGATGAAGTGGGATATAAAGATCCTGACCAATAAGAGGTAAGTGAATACGGTTTTGTGGGGCTTCTAAGAAAGTCTCTAAAGGAGACACTCTTTACCCTCCCTAGTTTTCCTGCTTTATTGTTGCATCTATAAATGAAAATAGTTATGTGAGGGGTGAGCAGATATTTCACCATAACTGACCAACCATGGTGGAAAGGCCAAGAAAATTGCAAAAATCTGAACCGCTGAACCAAATGCAACAACTGTCTGCCTCCAGACATCTCACTTGGTGGGAAAACCTCAAGTTTTTTGCTTACACCACCATGTTTAGAATCTCTGTTCGTCACAGCCAAACAAAATTGCTCATAAGATGCTAGTCTCGCAAATCCACTCTTGTCCTGCTCCAAGAAGCTTTCCACTTTTAAGCCAAAGTGCTCTTTCCAAGCTGTAGCTCTGCTCGTGTTGTTTCACTTATTAGAACTTTCAAGGATCTCTCCTTGTTATAGGATAAAAACCAAACTTCTTAATGTGTTCAACAAACTCCTTCATGTTCTATCAACACTCCCCACCCCCCAGCTTTATTTTATATGATGCTGCCCTTATTGTCAGGGTTCTGGTCACATTGGACTTTTCAAGACCTCTACTATATCATGACACTTCCTACTGTGTGGACAGGATTACATTTAGAATAGTTCCCCAAGTTAAGATGTTTGAATTCTGAGTGGTAGCACTGCTCAAGTGAAGAACCTTTCAGTTTAATGGAATTAATTTTTAACAGATGCTGAAATGCTGAAACGCCTCACCCTTCTGCTAAGCCAATTTTCGAATCTGTTTTAGGAGAATATTATCCTTACAAACTCTTCAACTGGGCAGGCTGTTCTCTGTGCATTACTCTAATAATATCTATCACTGGTTTTTTTTTTTTTTTTTTTCTCCTTCATTTTCTTCATCTAGAAATGGATTGTGATTCTGCTCCTGGGGGCGAGAGTAGTAGACTTTCTCTCTCTCCTGCTGCCATGTGCTAGACCAGGCCCTGAATTTTTAGGCCTGTAGAAATACAACAGCCTCTTCAATCCATTCTTCACTGTGTCCCCAGAGGCATTTTTGGGAAGGGAAATCCGGCTGTAACATACTCCTGCTGAAGATTCTTCTCTGTGGTATCACGTTTGTGATGAGGTCCAAATTTCCTATGATGTTCTGAAACCTCTTCATAGTTTGTCCTCTTCCCAGGTCTATTTTAATCTTGCCTCCTGAGACTTTTTCTTTCACACTCAGTTTCAGCGACTACAAATGCCCATTATGTGACATAGGGTGTGACAGGGACTTAACTATATTACTGAGTAAGAAAGATGGTGTCCCAGCCCTCAAGTTCTTACTTGAATTGTTAATTTGTACTCACTAACAATTCAAGTGTTATCACCTCTAGTTGAGAAATGTAGACAAAA